AATTCCCCATCTTGTATTACTTGATGAATCTGGGAAAGTTATGACTGATAGTGGAACTGAAGTTATCCGTGAATATGGAGTCGAAGGATACCCCTTTACATCAGCAAGGATCCAAGAGTTGAAAGATCAAGAAGAGGAAGCTAGGAAGAACCAGTCCTTGACATCTATCTTGACCTCCCGCTCCCGTGACTTTGTCATATCTTCTGATGGAAAGAAAGTAAGCTAGTAACATCATTCTATTTGTAGGAGATATTCTCCACTTCAGTTAATGTCTCGTAGTTTACCAAAACATAGTATTCCTTTCCAAATCTGAGGTTTCCTTTTATGTACATGCAGGTGCTTGTCTCTGAGCTTGAGGGCAAGACAGTTGGTCTGTATTTCTCATTGACTCCATACAAAGCATGCAGTGACTTTACTCCACAGCTTGTAGGGGTTTATGAGAAGCTGAAGGAAAATGGGGAGAACTTTGAGGTTGTGGTTATTCCCCTAGATAATGATGAAGAGTCATTCAAGGAAGGGTTACAATCTGTGCCTTGGCTATCTTTGCCTTTCCAGGACAAGAGCTGTGAGAAGCTGGTTCGGTACTTTGAGCTCTCAGCCCTCCCCACTTTGGTTATTATTGGGCCAGATGGGAAAACTCTTCATCCTAATGTTGCTGAGGCTATTGAGGAACATGGGATTGCTGCATACCCATTCACTCCTGCAAAGTTTGCTGAACTCATTGAGTTAGAGAAGGCCAAGGAGGCATCTCAAACCCTTGAGTCAGTTTTGGTTTCCGGAGACCTAGATTTTGTCATTGGGAAAGATGGGGTGAAGGTAAAAATTTTGAACAAATTAACAATAAGTTCTGTTGAGTAGCATGCTACCTTCCTTCTTTCTTTTTCCCTACCCTCTGTTTGCATTGATACTAACGAGTTAGGATATATTCTTTATCAGATTCCGGTTTCAGAATTGGTCGGGAAGAACATCCTCCTCTACTTCTCGGCTCACTGGTGTCCTCCATGCCGTGCATTCCTTCCAAAACTCACTGAAGTATATCATAAGATTAAGGCAAAGGACAGTGCATTTGAACTCATTTTCATCTCAAGTGACAAGGATCAAGTCTCCTTTGATGGATACTATGCAGAAATGCCATGGTTGGCACTTCCATTCGGCGACTCAAGGAAGGCATTCCTGAGTCGCAAATTCAAGGTGTCTGGCATCCCTAAGCTTGTGGCCATTGGATCAAATGGCACTACTGTCACGAAAGAAGCTCGAGATCTGGTTGCGCTTCATGGGGCAGATGCTTATCCTTTCACCGATGAGAGAATAAAAGAAATAGAGGCAAAATATGAAGAGACTGCAAAGGGGTGGCCTGAGAAGGTGACGCATGAATCACATGAGCACGAGCTTGTGTTGACTCGCCGTAGGATTTTTAACTGTGATGGTTGTGATGAGGAGGGGCATATATGGTCATACTACTGTGATGAGTGTGACTTTGATCTTCATCCAAAATGTGCATTGGAGAAGAAAGGAAACAAAGATGATGCTAAGGAAGATGAGAAATCCAAAGATGGATGGGTTTGTGATGGTGAAGTCTGCTTTAAAGCCTGAAATCTGATGGTTATTATTATATATTGGTAATTAATGTTTATTAGGCATATCATCTGCATGTGATGGCCTTTACTACTATGTCTTTTATGATGTGAACTATGTAGAATATTGGATTTGTGATATGATATGAATGGTGTGAACTTGAATATTGGATGTTTGATATGATATGAATGGTGAACTTGAATACTGGATGTTTGATTTTCAAGTTATTTTTTAATAAAAGAATTTTAAAAGTTAATAAAATCTCATTTTTCCTCATATTCTATCTACTATTAGACTCAATGATTATGGGTGAAGCTTTAATCCTACTTAAATTGGTTCTACACTTTGATTTTTATGATAATACTGGGTTTTTAGTATTTAAGCAACACCAATGTTGTTGACTGAAAGAGAAGCAAATGAAGAAAACCTTAAAAACCTTGATAACCCAAGTTAGTACCATCAAGGCTCCCTCAAAAGCTACATACTGGTGTGGCCAAACAATGCCCTCCTATCAAGTATTGGTGTGAACTTTTGGCTATAGCCTTCTAGGTACATAGAAATCCAAAGAACATTACCCAACTACAGTCACTACATAGTACTCATGCCTTGTAAATATCTTTTCACTCTTCTCTCTACTTCAAGCAAGCAAGTCTTTTTCTCCTTTTTTTATTAAATAACTTATTCATCACTGCTGTGTCATGTGTGCTCCCAGCAACTACATCCATCTAATATTTAAGTAATTGGTTAAAGCAATTTATTTAAGCCATTTAATATTATACACAATGGAATAATTATTCATTTACTTATTTTTCCTGGATATATTATTGTTGACCACAAGCTATGAAATAGACAGCTATTATATCTCATGGGGCAAATGACAATGCATTAAATTGGATTGCTGTCAAAAACAACATTTTTTTTATAGCCAAATATAAGTATAATAGTATTTCATGGTGGGTAGGATTTAAACCATCAACATCCTTATCACTCCACTCTTTAAGTCGAAAAAACATAGGATGCATATGACAACATCACATTGATTTTGAGGATTTGTAAAAATTAAAAGGCCAGGTCAAGGAAATTATTCTTTTCATTTTATAGGGTATCACGCAGTAATAAGCTATAATAAATGGCTTAAATAAATTGCTTTAACAAATTTAATTGCAGTAATAAGCTATAATAAATTGCAGTAATAAGCTATATAAAACCAGAATGAGTGGATGGCGCATTTAATTGGTATCCTTTAGTTACAAACATTGAATCCAAAGTGAATAGAAAGCTCAGAAATATTAGGCCCCATTAACCAAATTCCTACTATAATTATAGCCACCAATAATATGTCCTAAACCATAACATGAACACAAATCCAATTTGTCTCGGACGAGGACCAAAATTCAAACTAGATAATATTCACCCCTGCATCCAGAATTACAATCCACAAGCAGACTCCCAAAAAGCTTTAAGCCTGTAATGATAGTTATGGAAACAAAAAATAACCTAAGTATATGTATGTGATCTAAATTATAATATGATATTCTATCAGTAAACATCATGACACAAATGCAAGCATAGATAGCATGGTTGGTGCACATTTGCCACCACTCCCAAGGAAACAAAATGTTAAAATTTTCCATACAACATGCATTTTTTAATCAAATTTTGCACAAGAGCTAGCTACCTTGTTGGCTATGTTGTTTGAAAGCCAATCCAACCCCTCATAAAGACCCTCCCCAGAGGTTGCACAGGTGCTCTGAATGTACCTGAAAGAGCCAGAAAAGCATGTTAGATCTCAGGAAAATAGATATCAATACTGGAAAACAAGGAGATAATGATCAAACTAATTACCAGTGGCGCTGTCTGAGAGAGTGGAGACCCAGCTTGTCAGTAATTTCAGCAGCATTCATTGCATTGGGAAGATCTTGTTTGTTAGCAAACACAAGCAATACTGCATCTCTCAGTTCATCCTAAAAAGATAATTAAAATGACTCATTCCAAACATTACGGCATTTCCTCACAGGGATATAAGAAACAGAAGGCAAAATAATAAGGGTGCTAATGATTCTTTTTTTATAGACAAAGTTTGTTTGCTTTTTTTAAGGGAGGGAGAGAGGACAACTACGGGTTTTGAACCTAGACGCTCATATGTTCATGCTTACTGTCCTGCAACTCTACCAACTAAGATAGTTATTGGGGACAGAGTGCTGATAATTCTAGTCACGTTTCTTATGAGAACATTAAGGTGAAGCAAAGAATACCAATTACTAAGAACTTATCTTCCCAAGAGCATACGAGTAAGAACTGGCTATTCAACTTCCAGCATAAATAGGTTGATTAACAAAGTGATTATGAACAAGAAATGCTTCTTATCCTGAGTTCCTCATCATCGATAGGATACCCAATGGACAAGTGATCAATAATCAGACACTACTAATGAATCACATCACAGTATTAGCAGCAGCAGCATAGTCCGATCAATAGCATACACAGAAAAATGCTAACTGCTTCCACTGAAACAGCACCATCCTTGCACAAACCTCAACATAAAATCGTGAACATTTATTTTATGAGATGAAGAGAAAATAATCGTTGCCATAGATTCATATGGACTGCAACCATCTTTACCAGCAGACAACCCTTGTGGCCTCTCAATAACTATACTAGAGAAAAAATTTCCATCTAAATGCAGATGAATAACTGATAACATGAATATAAGAATACTAAGACAAAAAAACCCAGCTAAATTGACCATTTTACCTCATTCAACATTCTATGCAACTCATCTCTGGCCTCAACAACTCTGTCTCTGTCATTGCTATCGACAACAAATATCAGACCCTGTGTGTTCTGGAAGTAGTGCCTCCACAAGGGACGGATCTGCAACAGAAAACATGAGTATTCAGACACCGACGTCCATCCAGGATATATAACTCAAAAACCACAGTTTTTAATGAAGAAATTTTAAAGAATGCAGAAGGATCAAAGTTTACACCTTGTCCTGACCCCCGACATCCCAAACAGTGAAGCTAATATTCTTATATTCCACAGTCTCCACATTGAACCCTGAAATATATAACAAAATAACAATACATCAATACAGACAACAGCAGCAAAATTGTCTGCAATAGCGACCTGATTATCTGTAATTTCCATCAATAACAGAATAATAAATGGTAAAATTAACAAACATAGGAAACCGCTGTTGCTGATTAATCATGAAAAACGTTTTTCAAAACCAACTAATGAGTTTTTGGTACTACCAAGGGTATCCCCTCACCTTTTGGTAAGGAACTAATCCCTTTCGGGATGCATGGTTGTCCCTCTCAACAAGTGTCGCTCCCAGGAATCGAACCCTTGACCTTTTGGTCATCCTGGGATCCAGCAGGGCCTTACACCACTAGACCAACACCTTGTTGGTAAAATGTTGGGGTCTGTCAGACAATCGTGTAACCATCCCAGACGGTGTGATACACAGTCTGAGAACAATCTTCTATTATCACAGTCTCACAGATGACACCCTCGGATGAGGTATCATCAGAGCCGTTAATCAACAGTCATGGATCATCAACCAGACTTAGGTTCTTGTCTTCTTAGAACTCAAGGACAACAGTACGAGCCTATATAACAGATCTTGTTCAAGTAAGGTTGTCAACTAACATGAGTTAACGAATAATTAGTTACAATAAGTCAAGTTGCTTCTAGTATTTCATAGCAAACATCACATATTTAGGGCCCGTTTGCAAATATATCTTGAGATCACATGATTTTTCAGTTCTTAGTTCTCAAGGTTTCTTTAAGGATTTAGCAATGTATGATTCATCTTAAAAGCTCATTGACATAACAGTCACTCAAATCAGTTATTACTAAGACAATTGTACAAAATGTTGGACGATATAAACAAGTAATAACAATGGCCATAATGACTTTAAAATAAAATGAAAATGAAGAAACTTACCAATGGTAGGAATTGTAGTAACGATCTCTCCTAGCTTGAGCTTGTATAGAATGGTGGTCTTACCAGCAGCGTCAAGACCAACCATCAGAATTCGCATTTCCTTCTTCGCAAAAAGCCGACTGAAAAGCTTGGTGAATGTCAGCCCCATTTTTCCTTCAGCTTATGGATCCCTACTCATTGATTATTATTAACCAAATCAGTTTATTCAATCAAGTTAGAAATTAAAACCAAATAAATTCAATTTCTTCTATTCAATTCAAGCAAAGAAAATAAGGATATAAATATCAAAGCCAATGGAACTGAAGCATTTTGAATCATGAAAACAACCCGCACGGAAAAGAATTACTACATTAACATGACGTTTTCGAAGATCCCAAACCGGATTGAACAAACAGAAAATATAAAAAGGAACATTTGGATCCAGAAACCCTAAAATGAAATTATAGAAATAAGCTTAAAAAGGAACAATTGTTGAATTGGTTATATTGAATGGAAATTAAGAGAAAGGAGAAGAATGGATCTGAGAAAAGTACGTTTTGGGATCTGGAAACAGAGAGATTGAAAGAGAATGAGGTGAATAATGATTTACAACATTCATTTTATAGGAGAACACATTATTCCTATTATTATAAAGCTTTACCAAAAATATTTAAATTAAATAAAGGAATTTATATGTAAGACTAGGTATAGTTTTTGACAAGTCTAAAATATGTTTATAGCCACTCTATATATTTTCTATTTTAATTTTAAACATTATGAAGGGTCCTAAAAATATGCCCATCAATTTCTTTTTGTTAGATGATAAGTTCATTAACAAATATCAATTTGCAAGTCATAATAAGCTGCCTCTAAGTGTTCATTTTTAAATCAACAATCATAAATATATATTTTAAATACCTTATGCCTTAAGATATATTTGTTAAATACCTTAAGATTTATTTCTTAAACCATAAGCTAACTACCTCATGGCTTAAGATTGAAGTAAGGACTTTGACCAGAATAATTTTCAAATGAACTCAAATTCCCTAATATTGACTTACCAAATCAAGTTGCAGAAATTGCTTAAACCATAGCGTTACCTGTTTTTATTTTTAAATAAGATTTACATTTTTATCATATTCTGATTTTAATTTAATTTATAAGAAAACTATTTTTCACATATTAATTTCATTTTTGAAAAAAATGAAAATTTACTTGATTATGTAAACATTGCAAATGGTTATATTTAATATTCTGTGCAAATGTTACTGATGTATAAAGGAACATGTGTGTTTGATGAATAAAATAAATAGTTAAGAAAGATGTTAATACATTTATCTCATTATAATTTCATTATAAAATCATATGACTTAACTTCATTTAATCTTCAAAAACTCACCCTAAGAATTTCCAACTTTAAGATTAAACATTGTTAAACAACATAAAATGACTCATATCATAATACAATAAGTAAATTTACTACTTATCCCATCAACAACTTGATATTTCAATGAAAATGTTGAGCTGCAAAGTCCTCCCATGATTTGTCTCTGATCATATCTCAAAACTCCACCAACATACCATTTACCACTTTTGGCATAAATTACAATAAAATGGTTATTTGTATAATGTATCTATAGAGGTAAATTAGTATTATTATTATAGTTCAGTGTGATGAATAATATAATCTTTAATTGGTTCTTGAAGTTGAGAAATTTGATCATTGGAATTAAGGCACTCAGCAGAAGGATGAACCAGTCCATAGCCAAAGCCTTGAGCAGAGTGACAATAGGTTTCAACAGTGCCATCAAGTTTTTCCAAATTGACATTGCTAAGAACTAATTTGCTGCATGGAACTGCATCACTGCAGTCAAATTTAATGGCCTTATCACTCTTTGTAGTACCACTAATGTTCTGATACATTATCTCACTTATTTCCACACCTGATGTCTGCAAAATATTCACATATACATTACTTCATCACTTTTTTTGTTACAATCAAAATGTTCACATCATAATGTTTAATACTTAATGACCAAATGGGTAACAACAATGAATATTTAAAAAATAGTGGGAAAAGTGTACCTGGTTTTGACAAGAGGATGGTGAGTCACAGTAGAATTGATCTATAATAATAGGGTTTGTAACATTTTCCACCCTCACATTTTGAAACCTTACCCCTCTAACATATCCAGAACCTCCCTAAAATATCAATGAAAATATATTAATTGTATATATATGATATAATTTCTAATAGAGTGTAATATTTATACACTATAAGTGTGTAAAGATTTATACACAGATATAACATCATTCACCATTCATTTGTATTAATATTATAGTATAATTTAATGAAGATTGCAAATAGTACCTGCCAAGTCTTAATCCTGACACCATTTGTAGTATCCCTAAGAACTGCTGTATCCAAAATCACTTTTGAGACTATGCCAGTTGAATTGTCTTTTCCAAGGCTTCCAATGCTGGAACAAAAATTGCACTCTTAAAACTTATAAAACAAGAGGAAATATATAAAAAAGTAATCAATTAACTTGCTAATCTCAAATATTATTTATAATGAACTAAAAAAATGTGGCATTTACTGTAACAAAAAAAATAGTGGCATATGAATGTTGTATATGATACCTGATTCCATGTCCTGGTCCACAAAAAATTCTCTTCATTTTGATATTGGTGCTAGCATTGACAATTGATATACAATCATCCCCTGAACATAATCATACAAAAATCATCATGAAACATTAAAAATACAATCAAACTTTATGCCAGCAGTGATTACATAAACATATTTTGTAATTGACAACTTTTGTACAACTTTGATATTTATATCATCCTAAGTTGTGTTACAAATTGTCTATAAAGTTGTCAAACATCATTTTTCATTGGGACATAAAGTTGAGAAACAATGAATGTTAAAGTTGAGAACCTGATCCAATTTTACTGTCTTGGATTGCTACATTTGTTGATTCACTTATATGAATTCCATCAGTGTTTGGGCTGTCTCCTGGAGATGACACTTTCACACCATAAATTCTGACAGAATCAGATCTTGATATGGTAAAATGTATCTGTTGGCTATTCTGGATAGTTATTCCACTCACTTTTATAGCTGAACTTGAATCAATGGTTAATGCCTGCAACATAGAAGAATACAACATTTTATATAAACACCTTATTCTTCAAATATAGAATAATACAACAGTACTATGTTTAAGAAAATGGTTCTTACTGTTGGTGCACCTTTGCAGGGCTGTTAAAAAAAGGAAAAAGAGAAGAAACATCATAAGTCATTTCTTGCAACTATAGTTTTTATAAAGACTTGAAAAATAACTAAGATAAAGTTCTGAAAATTCACATTTGACTTGTTCTTTTTGCAAGATGCTGCCCACCATTTGCTACCTGAGCCATCAATTACTCCAGAACCTTGGAAAACAGCTTTATCCAGTTTCGAAAATGTGAGCCAAACCCGCGCTGATTTTGGATCCCAGTTCTTAGGCTCATCTGGTGCTATCACTTTTCCATCAATCTGTTAATGCTTATAATAATGTCAATAATCATATCACTCAAACTCAAACTGTTAAATCTAAATATGTGTTTGTATATACCTGGATGATTATATTGCCTGCACAAGGGCCTGTGAATTTTGTTGCACTCACTAGGTAAATGCGTCCTTGGGGAACTAAGAAAACAGATTTTGGTGTAGAGCAAGAGATATTCCATGCTTTTTGAAAAGCCTGATAATCACACCATCAGTAAACAAAGAATTACAGTTACTAGGGCATGATACGGGTATAGGTATGCCATTCATTCGGGTACGCGACTCGTTATTTTTTACATTATAAGACTTACTTTGAGGTGAACCTCGACAATAGGTATGTGGTGCACAAGGTTGATGAGCGAATATAGTAGTAACTATGATATGCAATTACAAGTCGAGGTATATCTCAGTGATAATAATGAAAAAAACTTACCTCGGTGTCATCCGATTCTCCATTTCCAGCAGCACCAAAGCTATCAACATTCACAAGAACTTTTCCACCACGCTCACTTCTCCATGAAGGAATGTCAGAAAGTTCTACCTCATTTTCTTCTTCTATGTCTAGACTTTCAAGTTCCTGAAGCATGCCCATGTTGTTGTCACACATCATGCTTCCTGCAACTCCATGAGCTGCTACCAGCAAACTGAGTAAGGAAAGAAAAAATATTTTGTTCATATTTTCCTTGGTTGGCTATATTGCAAGGATTGATTTGATTAATGCCAATGACTACTTTGGTTATAATTTATATACATAGATTAACTTTGAAAAATGAAGGATTTGATAAGCTTTATGGCTTGGCTTGAAAGTGGATGAAGGTGTTACATTTTCTACATGCCCACACTTAAAGTACAAGGAAAAGTTATTTTCTAGTATTTTGCTTTACTCATCAACCAATTACAAAACTCACAAAGTAGTGTAGACCGTTGCACTTTCTCCACTTTGCCACCCCAAAATAGATGTGGATGACATTTAATCTGTGTCTTATTATATTTTACAAGCTACCTCAAATTGCCTAAGTATATAGCCATAACAAAATATGGTGCATAAAGGGGAAAGCTATTTTTCTATTTTTAAGAAGCTGTTAGTTGGTTACACCAAACATGGGAACTCAGATGCTGACCCTCATTTTCTTGGCATGCCCGCCAAAAACTTCTTGCA